ACTCTATGAAGATTTCTACTTTGTGAAATAATCTCCTGAGGTTCTAGATGAGTGTCTAGAAAAGAGCCAAGCTTCTTCATTAGCTTGTTTAGCTTTTCAAAGTCATTTGATGCTTTTATAACAGCAGATTATGGCAGAAGAGATCTGACTTCCACAACAGACTGACAGAAGTTGTCAACTCTGTACTTTTCTTTAAGATGGCTTCACTGTTTTGTCTCTGGTTGAGTTTGTTGTCAAGAACACCAAGATATTTATACTCCTCCACCACCTCCACTTCCTCTTAACAGGAATAATATTGTTCCTGTTTCTTCTGAAACCTACAATCATCTCCCTTGTTTTGTTGACATTCAGGATTAGATGATGGTTTCCACACCATTGCCACAAAATTGCTCCCTGTAATCAGCTTCTTTTCATCTCAATGCACCAAATGACTGCAGAGTCATCTGGGTGTTTCTGCAGGTGACAGGTGTCTGTCTGATACTGGAAGTCAGAAGTGTACAGAGTAAAAGGGAGTGGTGAGAGTATCGTCCCCTGTGGTGCTCCTGTGCTGCTGACTTCTTGATTAGACAGCTGACACTGTAGTCTAACAAACTGTGTTTCTGTTGGCCAGGTTGTCTCTGATCCAGGCGATTTTTGATGCCTCTACCTGAGTATACTGAGGTTTCTCACAATACAAGTCCGGCTAAATCATGTTATTAAATGCACTAGAGAAATCAAAGATCATGAACCTCACTGTGCTTTCTGCCTTTCCCAAATGACATTGGGTTTGTTGAAGCAGGTGTATGATGACATCACCAACTCCTAGTCCAGAACAACAAGCCAACTAAAGGTGGTTCCTGATACGTAGCTGCTTCTTTGCCTGCTGAGGTGAACCAACAGAAGTCTCTCTAGGACCTTCATGATTTGGGATGTCAGGACAATAGGTCTATAGTCACTGAGGATAGTTAGCTGAGTATTTTTTTGGTACTGGAAGCATGCAGGAGGTCTTCCACATCTCTGGAACTTTCTCTTTGGTTAGGCTAGGGTTGAAGAGGAACTCTTGTCTGCACAGGCCTTCAGGACTCTGGTGACCTATTATTATTGTGTTCAATAATCTCCACTTCACTAGACAGACAGATGAAAGGCAGAGAGAGCAGCACCATCTTCTGATTTGGCTGAGAAAAAACTCATAAAGGAGGAAAGTCAGTGGCAGAGGAAGGCAGGATGTCCATGGGACTTTAGGCAAGAGAGAGCATGTTCCTGATTTGAACCTGTTGAAGATTGTATTCAGTTCATTGGCTCTGTCTTGGCTTTCATCAATCTGATAATCCTTCTGCTTGAAGCCTGGGATCTTTATCCCTGACCACACCTATCTGATGTTGTTCTGCTGGAGTTTGCTTTCCAGGCCCTTCCTGAATGCCCCCTTGCTTTCTCTTATTTACCTTAAGTTGCTTCTGAGTACTCTTCATTAACTCCCTGTCTCCCTGCTTGAAAGCTAGTTTTTTTCTTGTTGAGCAGTTACATGAGATCATTAGTCATCCATGGTTTATTATTTGCGATCCATGTTTTATTATTATTTATTTGTTCTGCTAGGGATGGTATTGCCTACACTGATGTTTATGTTGTTAGGTTCTTTCAATGATGATTATTAAAGTAATGTGTGTTCATGTGAAACATTGTAGAAATGAGATGCTCCACTCCTGTCTCATGATTCAGACCATCCTACCTTGTCATTCTAGTGCAGCATCCCGTCTTTATGAACTGATCAATTGTTCTGTCCGAACAATACTCTGTTTGTAACCATGTGTCATGTTCTGTTAATAAAACGCTCTGCGGAGGAGGTCCGGTGTGAGACAGTGTGTTTGAGTCTGGGGTTCAACTGTCTCTCCTTCTGCAGAAGCCGTATGAAAAATCTTTTAGTGTGTATTTCAGTTCTTCCTTTTACAAAAACCTACATTTTATGAACCCAACAATGTAATCAGTCACACACTCATTTCACTGATGTCCTCCCTATGTGGCTGACACAGTGCATCTGCCTGTAGTGTTGTAACAACCTTGCGGGGCTACAGACAAACAGACCAACTGCTAACAGTTCAATGTCTGGTCTGCCGTGGCAAATGGTGTTCACAAGCACTGCCAGCCCACCTCCTTTGATTTCTCTAGTGTTCTTTAAAAGTATGTCTGCTCCTATGGTCATAAAGCCTTGCAGAGAAATTCTGAAGTCCAAGATATGATCCTGCAGCCATGTTTCAGGAAAGCACATATTGCTGCATTTTTTATATTCTAGTTGGGACTTGGGAGATCTCTTAACTTGTTTCCTAAAGATCCCACATTGCCAATAATTACTGATGGAAGAGATGGTTTAAAAATCCTGTTCCTCTCTTCTATTCTTGTTCCTGCTCTGCATCCCTCCTTTTCAACACAGCTGGTACTTGAAGAGGTAGTTGAAGTATTATTTAGGCTTTACAGATGTTAATGAGCTGCCCTCGAGTGTAATAAACCAACTTGCTATCGTTGCTATGGTTATGAGTCATAAAAATTATCCAAAAAGAAAACTATATCAGAAAAAAATTCTTTCAGTTTCACAGTGTTTAATTTTTTTTTTTTTTTTTATAATTAAAAACTGTTATTGATAGTATGATAACAGTATATTGCGTCACAAACTAAAACTGGAAGTTTTGTTTCCCAGGAGAGAGCGCGATAACTAAAGGATCTGCCTCCCATAAGGTATAGTTAAAAGTAAAAATGTACAATATATAAAAACATCATACAGAAAAATTTCAATCGTATCAAAGACTTTAACATGCTATCATTAAAAGACAGGAAAAGTCACAAAAAATACACACAGAAAAGCTTAATTAGAAATACTCTATTGAGCCTTCATAGAAAAAAAATAATTAAAGAGGTTAAATTTGCTGCTGTATATGGATGTCAGTATAAATAAACTTAATGATGATTAAGAAATTAACTTATGTGATGCCATCTCCCTGGCTTTTGATTGTTGCACATAACTCTTTTTTTCTTCACAGCCTGGTGCATAATAAAACCATGGTCTAGTCAAGATACGAACTTATATCCTGCTGAGATTATATTTACATATTCTTCTTCAAATTTAAATGAGCTTCTAAATTAGCAAAACTGACAGAAAGGCTGAAGGCAAATACCCATCCAACTTATTCTTGTGTGAAAAAAAAAATCTCTATTTCATTAGAAATAAAATAAAAATAAAAAAACAATAAATGCTATAAAGTTTGATGTTTCTCGTGAACAAGTGAAAGAAATCTACAGCTGTGAATACCTTGGTTTTGTTGCTGAACAACATTTCCCTTTCTCTTGGTGGGATGAATAAACTCATTGTATGCCCTTATAATTTCACCAGTGTAGAGAGCTCCACTGTGGATGTACTGGTTGTAAAATGCTTGTTTCCAAGGCAACCAGGAGACTGATTCGGCTCATATCTGTACAGGCTGCAGGCTGCATCCCGGCAATAGCTTTAACAAAAGGAGGCAGATAGACTGTGAAGATACTAAGTACCTACACTCTGTTTATTCGGCTTTATTTGTGTTTACTTTCTGTCTCTAAATGTTCAGGAGAGAAAAAAGACAAGCAGTGCTCACTTGATTAATGAGGTTTGGTTCATTTCCAGGCATAGAAAGCAGGTGGTATTTCTTTAGGAAAAATAAACTACTCTTTGTTCACGCTTTAAATCAAAACACTCTTTATTCTTTACTTTTTATGCAACTGTGCGGAAAAACAGGAGTAAATGCCAATAAAAGCAGGTACACCTAAAAACAGTAGCAGTATAGAAAAAACAAAAGTTAATGAAAAAACTCACTGAAAAATACAGAATTCGGATTAGATTCAGATTTTATGTTAAAAGCGAATTACATATGTTTGTTTTATAATTTTTTTTTGTGAGATTTATAACCTATTTCTTTAGTTGTGTAAAACCAAGCTAAGCAGTATTAGTGGACAGGGCTAATGCTGTTCTTGTGCAGTTAAACAAATCTCTGGGTCTATTACAGGAGACATTTCTAACAGATTTAGTTCATTTAAAATTATTGTTACGGACTTTATAGTTTAAGTTTTATTGACGCTTTCATCATTTCTGGGAGTAGTATGGGTTATATCAGTTTTTTTTGTAAATCAAGCGCACATAACATATGCACTGTTATGAATTGATTAGAATTGTATTTTATGTATTATTGAAGCTTTTTTTTATTGATTAGAATGTGTCTTTTTGGTACTTTCTGTTGCATAGTGCACCAATGGAGTGAATATTTTCATGGCCTCTTGCTCTTTTTACAGTGGACCTTTTTTTTTTTTTTTTTAACTCATGAATAAAATAGAGTACAGCGCACAAGCATCAAAAGACAAGACAATACTACAAAGACTTCCAGTTCATGTCTGATTCACTTCCTAAAAAAATCTGATAAGCAGCATTTTTTTCCTGCATTTGGTGATTTGTGTCTCTATAATACATCCATTTTTAATGTGAGCGGTGTAACTACAGAAACTGACTGCCAACGCGCACCGCTATCGTAGTGAATGAAGCAGATCCAGCGGGAGCGCGCAGCAACCTATCATCAGCGCGCGCATGCACAGCTGTCAGCACCAAGGACAGCACCAGCTCAGTCCCAGACGCAGTTCGGAGGATCCGGCTGGATGGAGGGATACAGTCCAAAGGCGGGGGCGAAGTGTGAAAGCTGGAGCGATGAATTAGTTCGTTTTTTGTGCCTTTTTTAAAGAGGCAGTTTTGCAGGGGAGGGAGAAAAAAAAAAGGTGGAGGATGCAGTTTGTTGGTTTGACAGTCTGCTCCTGATACGATCATGCACATTCCTCCGCATTGCACATAACCAGCTTTTATCTCCAGCCTTCCTCTTTCCTTTTTCGGGGCTCCCCCTCCCTTCGCTCTCGTCGCCCACCTGGATCGCGCCCGCCTTCTTCAGACCGAGCCGAGTCGAGTCACCACCGCGGAGAAAAGGGACCGGGCTGTGCTGTGCGGTTTGGCGCTCCACGCGATGCGTCTGTTTCTGCTGGCGGTGCTCCTCTCGTGCTCCTGCGCGCGGGCCGGCTGCGAACCAAAGATCGTGAACATCGGGGCCGTCCTGAGCCAGAAGAGATACGAGCAGGTCTTCAAGGATGCCGTGAACCAGGCTAACCAGGTCTACGGCCGGGACAAGTTCAAACTGAACGCCATCTCCGTAACGCACAAGGCTAACGCCATCCAGATGGCTCTGTCGGTGTGCGAGGACCTCATCTCCAGCCAGGTAGGGCTTACAGCTGCCTCCTTCGAGTCCGACTCACTCCATGAGATCAGGCTGTTCTGGTAATAAATCACAGCTGCATTTCGATCAGTGGCTCTTCTTGCAAACATAACACCTAAGGAGTCCAGTTTTCTGATACCCGGGATCTTCAATATCTAATTCCCCCTAAAAAAAAAAAGGAAATAAAAATTTACAGAAGTCAATGAACCAAAACCAAAAAAGGTTATACAGAATTTCTGAGTACTGAATGACATTTCAGTTCATGCTGTCCAAATATTAAGTTTTACATAAAGGTGGACTAATTTATCTTGAAGTCTAGAAATGCAAAGGTTATCATGATGTTATCTCCAAAAGAATGTATCTCAAACTATGTTTTAAATTTTTAATCAAATTTGCTCAGTGCTCAGAATTTTTTTTCTTAACTGGTGTAAAACACACAAAACTCCCTTTATTGTCTTGACATTAGTAACAGGAAACATGTTTAAGGTGCAGCTGATTATTGTGTTTTTTGGACAGGGAGCTAGATCTGCTTCCTGACACAAGGACTTTCTGTACAGAGCCAAATCGCTTCTCTCAAAACCCAATGTTGGTCGCAATAATAAAAAAAAAGATTATTTATTTTAGTAATTTATTTCAATCGGTGGAACTGCAGAGTAAAATTACACGCAGGGATGCAGGTCACACTTGCAATCCTGTCGATTGTTAATCTTTCAGCTCAGAATTCCGTTTCGTGGATGATTAAAAAAAATAAGAGCAACAAAAAGGTAGAAAAAGATTGAAATTTAAAAAAAAATTTGAAATAAGGATTTGCCTTAAAAGGTAATTTCCAAACAAATTACGTAGCTGTTCACTGTGCTGCATCCTCTGATATAAATGGAAAGGTAAGGGGAAAGAAACTAATACAGACAAATAATGCATTCCTTTGTAGAGAAGACACTTCTTAACCCAAAACAAAACAGCTTCAGAGTCTAGAGAAACAGTAAAGAGGATCAGAATCTACAAAACACGAAGTCCAGTGTAATCCTAGCAGCCAGTGATGATTTGGGCAGCCATCCCATTTGCTTGTGTTGGTCTATAGGTCTTCGAAAGCCCAAAGTCAATGCAGCTAACTACCAGAACATTTTAGAGTATTTCAAGTTACCTTCTGCTGACAAGGTTGATGAAGATGAGGATTTCATTTCCAGCAAGATTGTATTTTCCTACATGTACCAAAAATAAGTTTAATCACCAGTTTATTTTATTCTACATGACTGACCAAAAATCTGCCTGACAGAATCCCTATAAACCTCTCCACTCTGGGTTCCTGAGCAAAACCCTTAACCCCCACTGCTCCCCGGGCGCCACACAATGGCAGCCCACTGCTCCCCAAGGGGATGGGTCAAATACAGAGAGTGAATTTCCCCATTGTGGGACAATAAAGGGATTTACATAAAGAACCAATGAAGACACACCAGAAACATAAATGGAGATGACCTAAAAACCGTCAAAACAACCTGGGTTTCCATTACGCTGCAGCAGAACCAGAGGCTGATCACTTCAGAGCTGCTCTGCACTGACGCAATAATTCCTGCAAAAGGAAGAACAACCTAGTTCTAAGTGCATGCGCTGTGACGTATGTGATCATCTTGTTCAGAAGACTCACATTGCCTGTTTTTTTTTTTATTATTTTTTTTTTTTTACATTCCTTTTTAGTGGTGAAATGCCACCCTAATGGAATTGTGGGGGTTGAATTATTTGTGGACTAAAAATCCCAAAAAACATTCAAAACATTTTTAACTTTAACAACCCTTGTTATGATACAAGTTTCCCTTTTTGTATTCAGTTATTAAAATGCATCAACTTTTGTTTATGTTGAAAGTATTTCTCCAGTACCGAGAAAATTAAAACATCAATATATAAAAAATATATATATTTTTTTTTCCCACTTTGTGTTGCTTCAATATGACAAGCTCCCCACAGATCTTTCTGCTCAGCCATTCAAAAATAGCCTTTGGTTTGAGGCGGATTTCATATGATGGGATCGCCCCACATTCTGGGCACACAGCTGCAGATCTACTGAAGTGCACAGGAGCAGGTCAGGGGTGAAAATCTGCTAAACGTCATCCAACATGTCTGCATCAAGAGTCTGCAGCTGATGGTTTAAAATAGTTTAGGGCAAACATATCTTAATGTGCAAAATAAAATAAAAAACTCTGAGGGTTATTCATTTCATTACTTTTGCACTAAAACATGAAATTAAATGTAATTAACAAAATATTAAAAACTACACAAATACTTTCCCAGCTTTATCACACTAGAACCCTATTCTTTAATACATTTTATCTGCATTTTATATTGAACTATATGACATTGGATATAGCTGTGTCAAAGAGAGAAAACAAGATAAGACTTTGAGATTTCATATAGATTAACATGAGAAAAGTGGCATGTAATGGATCCAGCAGCATTTATTTATTCTTTAAATTCTAGAAAACAACTGACAAAATGGTAAAAAAAAAAAAAAAAAAAACCTGATATGTCAAACCCCTAATGGCAAAATGACAGGATATGGCAGGACCCAAAAAGGAAAACTAATAACAGGTTTAATGCAAAGTCAAAAAACAAAATTCTAAAAGTAAACATAGGCAAGAACAGTAAAATCAAAAACTTGAAAGAAACACAAACCATAATAGACTGTTTAGAAATGTCACACATTCTGTTTGCAGTTTACCACAAGACATGTAGGGGATTGCAAAAAGTTACACAGGGAAAAATAGTTATTTTGTTCTCATCTGTCCAATCTTCAAATTGCAGTAAATTTGCACTGCACATTTCTCAGAAAACAGCATAGCCTTAGTGAAACATGGTGGTGGCAGCACCATGCTGTGGGAATGTTTCTCTTCACCAAGGACAAAGAAGTTGATCAGAGTTGGTGAGAAGATGGATGGTAAAAAGAACATTTCTGGATGATAATCTGTTAGAGGCTGCAAAAAAACCTGAAACTGGAGGTTTAGGTTCACCTTAAGCAAGATGGCAACCCTCAGAATACAACCAGAGATACAATTAGATAGATAAAAGCAGATTTTGGTATTAGAATGGCACGGTCTAAGTCCAGATCTATATCTGTTGTCTGATAATCGATATAAATGTTCTCCTACGAATACTAACTGAAGGGAGTCTAAAGACAAACACTGCTTCCTGCTGAGAGTTTCCAGCTCCTTTTTTTGTGTTTTTCTTATTACTCCTTTAGGTACAGAAAATCTCAACATAGTTTCTCAAAGGGATGTTATGTTTTGACCATGTTATGTTTAATTTATTTCTTAAAAAGCTAGGTTTTTCATTATAGTTATAAACTAATTACCATTAAATGTCCCCGAGTAAGACAAGCTATTTCCCTTCAGTGGTCTTCAACAATATGATAGCATGAGAACAAATGGAGACAGTATACAGTAATTGGACAAATACAGCCACTATGTATTTAATACATTTAAAAAGAGAATCCATGTAATGTTAAAAACATCTAATGCAGTTCTGATCTGAAAAAGTTTTTTCCTTAAACTGAGTTTGAAGGCAAGAGAAGATGACGGCTCTAAAGGCTTGCAGGGGAGAATTTCACTGATGTGATGTTTTAAAAAAAAAATACTGTCAGGGCAAATGTCTTTCTTGGTTGGATTCTACCTTCTCCTGGTAGCTCCTCTCCTACTTTTGTTGACAGCTGATTTGGGATCAACAAAATCAAAGAGAGGAGAAGGAAAGTTATGTAGTCAGATAAGACAAACTTTACTAAAAAGTTGACGAGTTTCCCAAATTAACTATGGTGACATATTACATAACAATATGAAAGCAATTTTGATAAAATGATTTGCTAATCAAGATTTTAAGAGACTGCTTAGGAAAAGATTCCAGATATTTAGAAGTTGCAGAAGATTTGTTAGACCAACTTAACAAGCAATACCTAACCTGGAAGACTTACAATTTCTTTAAGAAAGCTAAACAAAATCTGCCAAGTTTCCAAGCAGATAAGTGGAAAGTTAAGTGGAAGGAAAAACTGTGCAAGAGCTAAACATATCCACAGCTAAAATGGAATGATTTTAGATCAAATCCTATTCATGAATGGTACAGTCAAGTTTAAAATTAAATCTAACAACAAAACTGTGACAAGACTTCTGAGCTTAAGCTATTTTTCCAAAGATTAAAAGGAAAAGAACAGCCTCTAGTTATACTAACCTAACTGAGGCAGAGGTGGGGTGAAAACAAAACACACAGCAAATCTTTAAGCGTTTTAAGCATTTTTCTGCTCGTTTATCTTTTTATTAGTCAAAGCCACTGAGAAAATTCAAATTCGGTTTGACACATGAATGTTAGATTTAAAAAAGTGTTATGCTAATTTTGTGGCATATTTCCTGCAGTTATTGGAGGGTCCAGTCTAGAAAGTTGGCTGTTCACAAATTGCTGTTTCCAAGAACCTAGTGCACAGTTTGTGGAAAGAAATACTTTCGTTTGATAGCTAAGTAGTTTAATAAAAGCACATTTGTGTGTTAGAATGGCCTAGTTAAAGTCTGGAACTAGATCCATCCATTTTCTGTCATGCTTTATCTCAGCTAGGGTCATGATGGGCTGTGGTGCCTATCTCCAGCTGTCTAGGGGTAAGAGGCGGGGTACATCCTGGACAGGTCGCCAGTCCATTGCAGAACTAGATCCATATGAGAATTTGCCCTACAGGACCTAAAAATAGAAACCATAAAAATTGGTAGAAGCGGTAAAAGATTATTCTACAAAATACTGACTTCGTGAATCTGAACACACACAATTTTTAGACTTAAAAGATTTCAAAAAGAAAAGGTTTTTAAAAATGCACAAACTCATTGCCCTTTGTATTTAGGCTCTGCGGCACGTTAATGTAAGCCAAAGAACTGACAAAAGCACACCCTAATGAAGGTTGAAATTGTAAAGAAACAAAATGTCAAAACTATTTTGTAAGGTATGAATATTTCTGCTCTAAATTAATGCATGAAGTGCACGTTTATAAAAGCGTTATGTCACACTGAGCTGAGGCACGAATGTCTCTCCTACACACATAATTAGGCTTTATGCAAAAAACAAAAGAAAAGAAAGAACACCCACAGGTTTAGTGCTTCTTCCATATCTTCTGCTTGGTTTATTGCTTCTAACTAATGCAGGCTTGTAAAACAGCCCTGTCCCATCCCATCACCACACGTTAACCCAAAACACTCAACAGCAGCTCTCACACTCTCCTGATGTGCAAATGAGAACAAAACCCCATCTAAACTGGACAGAAAGTCTATGGGGAGTTTAATCAGATGAGATTAGCTTGTAGGTGATAAGGACACAGTGGCAGATGGAAGAGAAGAGCTGCCTGCGAGCATTCCTTGGAAGGAAGACCTCATTTTTGACCCAGCCATACGGGCTGCTCCATCCAATAATCCGTGCCGGCACATCTATGCCAACCTTATCCCCCCTCCCTCCCCAACTCTGAGGCGTCTCCTCCCCCAACTCTTGTTTTTAAACCCAAACACCCACAAGGATGAACAAAAGACCTTCTCCTGCATGACTAATATCCTTCCAGACAGTTGTGGTTCAGAAATGTTATTTTGAACCTTTTATGCAACATCCCAGATTAGTTTGAGCTTTAATAAGAGATCACAAGTCTACTTTATTTTGTCCAGGTAGAAAAACAGATGTCTAACAGAATGGCTGGATATAGGCTGCAGATGGTAAAGGCTGTAATTCTCCTAGATTTCATAAGCAGCTTTTGATGACTTAGAAAACTGCAAAATCATACGACAAAAACAGCTTTGGCATTTTTTAATCCAATGAACATTACTTACAGAACAAAATTAGGTTCACTGGTGCTACAATGTGATGACATTTACTTAATGCCATCATTTCTGTCATGTTTTAAGCCGTTTACTTCATCATATTTATCTTTTCTACTTCTTTTAGGATTCATTTTGATCCTCTTGATTTTTTTCTTCACCTAAAAAGAAACAAATTACATCACAAAATATTTTTTTTATGCAAATCTAAATGACAATGAAGATAAGTGAGTAGGAAACAGTACTTATTTTATTACATAAAAACAACCAAAGTATAAAGAAAAGTGGTCAAACGCTAAGATTTGGAGATGTTTCTAAATTAAGGTTGATTTTATATCTGGTAAACCATTTATTTGTAAATCTGGTCAAATGTGCATTATTGACACAACATTGACATATTAAAAGACTCTGATTTTAGTTTCCTAGGAAAAGCCAGATTGTTTTAATATGCTCTTCTCTCCAAGTAGTTTTGCCTTATTCTTAAGAAAACCAGTTCCCTAGGCTTTTGGAAAAGAATCCTAACTTAACTTAACTTAACAGGTACTTTACCGTATAATATCTAATAGAGAAACCCAAATTTCTGACTAATCTGGCATAAATTAACACCAGTAATAGAGATACTAATTCATATCATAACATTCAAAGGGGTAGACTATAAAAAGATTAAATGCATGTCCAAGATGTTGATATTTAATAAGTAAAACAGGAGGAAGGAATTATGTTTTGAAAAGTGGATCAGGAAAGTATTCACAGCTTTGAGTTTTTTAGCAGCAAGTATTCAAAGCCTTATCCATGAAGCTCCAAACTTAAAGGAATAGTACACCCAAAACATGATTAGCCTTCATTTTCTACTCACCCCCATGCTGAACAACACTCTGAAGTACTTTTTTGATATCTCAAATGCATCTGGAGATCTGGGAGGCTTCTTGCTGTCTGCTGACATTCAAATAATGGAGGTCTATGGTGACCGAGGCAGAAAGGTCCATAAAAGTCCACAAAAAACGTGTCAATATTCCTCCATACTGCTCGTCCAATGTATTCCAAGTGTCCTGAGTGGGTAGCATCCAGAATTTACTCAAAACAAAGTTATTTAGAATGTTTTTAGAGCATAAACAGTAGTGTAACTTCACTAAGGAGTGAAGTTCTAGTACCGGTTCAGTTCATTGGACGCGATTAGAAAAGGAACCTTCAGCTCTCACTGTTAACTGTGCTTTTCAGAACATGAAGTCCAAGAAGCAGAGTTTAGGCTCATCTGTCCCAAACGCTGAGTTCCCAGGTTAAGTGTGCTCCAGATGTTTATCTTTGAGAGGGTAGTTATTCTATAATCATGTTATTTAGTTTATTTTTTTTTTTTATTTTGATGCTTTGAAACACCAGAAATTGTATGTAACTCTATCTGATTACTTAATTTTAAACATTAAATCGGATGCATTAAACCAAGAATTATTCATTACTTGAGTAGTTATTTTACAAAGAAATTCTTCACTTTTACTTGGGTACTTTTTAATGACTGCTTTCTTATTTTTTATGAGTTAAAAAAACATAAAGAAGTTCTTATTTGAGAAAAAGTTTTGGGTTCTCCAACTACCTCTAGTTGCAGCAGGGACTGGATGACCTAAAGATGTCACTTTCTGCTGCAGTTTTCCAAAAGTGAGAACTTTTCTCACCATCCTGCTAAGAGTACACTGAGGAGAGAAAAACTATCATCATTATGGGTCATTGTTCAACCTTTCCGTGCTCATAGACATCAGCAAATTTTGGAGGGTGGCTCTCATCCTCTTGCCATTTCCTGGCCCACTTGAAATGTCTCTTATGTTTCTCTCTATTTTTGTAGAGTAGCAGAACGGTTGGCCTCTGTTCAATATCATATTTATTATATTGACAACCAACTAAATCATATCATTCAGCTATTAGGGGTCCTAATAATCATAGAATGGATAGTTTGGTAAAATGTTTATTTCTCACAATGGGATTTTTGCTCTTCACTTGATTAATGCGAATGTATTAAAAAGATACTTAGACTTATAGCAATTATACAAACCATAAATTCATGCCTTGCAACACATGACCAGGAAATATTTCTCAAACATGATTAAAATGATTTAAATAGATATGTTTTAATCACATCAAGCTGCATGGTATAACACCGAATGCTCATCCAGGAGGAGTGTATCCTGCAAAGTCAAAGAGGCGATGGAATCAGCTGGGTTTTCTAAGATGGAAAACTTTGAACAAAGCTGACTGTATGATCTAATTGGCTTGTCTCTGTTTTGTGAATTGGTACCACATAAATAAACTGTACTGAATTCAATTAAGATATTATGTTAATCCTCCTACTTGTTTGATTAGATAGACATTTAGTGAACAATGTTTATTTTTATCCATTGAGTTAAATTTTTACATTTTACAACAATTTTCCACCTCCAAACTTTTAACGGTTAGAGAAGGATGACTGACATAAGTTTGCAATATGCCATATCTATCAGATTTTAACTTTTAATAGATAAAAAGAATAAAATAAAGCTTAATGTAGAGTTTGTGTACCAGATGGGCACTAAATAAAGTACAGCTGGTCTACTTGCTGTGTGGATCGTCTTGAATGTTAAAAGAAGAAATAAGTAACATAATCTCAGTGTTTTTATTAATTATGTCTTGCTGTCAGTGTGACAGAGTGTTTCTCTCCCTCCTTCGTGTCTCTGCAGGTCTACGCTATCCTGGTGAGTCACCCTCCTCAGTCCAGCGACCATCTCACTCCAACGCCCGTCTCCTACACCGCTGGTTTCTACCGTATCCCAGTTGTGGGGCTCACCACTCGCATGTCCATCTATTCTGACAAGGTGAGTGATGGATGAGAGGGATGTAAACAGAGAGGGGGATGGTGAGCCAACACAGAGTGATGAATTAAGGAGCTCCCTGAGGGTGCCTTTAAGAGCTTCCTAGATTAAACATCCCATCAGTGTCCATTAGGGGAGCTGAGATTAAATGGCTTTCCAGATAAAAATGGAAGACTGCCATTAATATTGTCCCTGATAAAAAAGTTATGATGCACAAAACAAATTAATTAACCCTCAAAAGTGATTGGATAAGTATAAAGATAACTCTGGAGCGTAAAAAACTTTAAGGAAGTCTTGCTCTGTTGCTCTTTTGTTATACTTGGGAAAGGTTTTTCATGTAAACATTGGAGGGAGAATTTCACAAAGAGAAATGGAGATGGTCATTAAATTACCAATAAAAAGTATTTAAGGAGATCACAATTTCTCCTCAGCTACATTAATAGACGGAATTTAATTTAGGTCTCTATATGATTTCTATAATGTGGAACTCCAGAAAAAAATTAAAAACAATCCACTGGATTTGGTTTCTGAGTTTGAAGACGTTTCGGTTCCCATCCAGGAAGCTTTTTCAATTCAAAATGTCAGGAATAGTGTTGAGTTTGAGGTTTTATACAGTAGCCCAACAAAGCCTTGTTTTTCTGTTGAAAACATGTGAATTGGAACAGGTGAAGGGGTCCACCCCTTTGGAATGGGGGTCATTTGGCTTCTTTTGTAAGACTGCAATACCCCATACCCATCTAAGTTTCTTATAGGTCGGTCGTTAAAGGTACTGGCTGAAAAGATTAACTCAATAGCTGCATTGTACGTTTTTGAAAGCTGGAACCTGAGTCCACTCCCTCTGTTTAAGGTTGGTTTTTCTTTCTTAACATAGATGGCTTCCTTCACACCCCTCTCAAACCTCCTATTTTCTTTATCTTTATGTGAACATTCTGGTCTTCAAAATAATGTCCTTTAACCATAAGGTGTAGATGTACTGCAGAGCCATGTCCAGAGGAGGTCCTGAGGAGGCCATGCATTTGTTGAGAGGTTGTTTGGTTTCTCCAATATAAAGATCAGAGCATTCCATCCTCACTGCATTGAACTGCATAAACCACTCTGCTCATATTTGGTTTGGGGGTTTTGTCCTTAGGATGCACTAGCCTCTGTCTAAGGGTCTTGTTAGGTTTGAATTATACTGTTTTGTGTTTGGAGAAAATCCTCTTGAGTCTAGAGATGTTTTTGCACTTGATCCTCTCGCCGTTATGTTCTGCTGCGTGTCTTTTGGATTTCCTTGATGATTTGACAAACACCCAGTTTGGGTATCCACAGGTTTGAAGAGAATTTATGCATTTCTTCTGTTCTTTGTGCTTCAATTCTGCTTTTGTAGGGACATGCTCAGTGTGATGTTGTAAGGTTCTGATAACTGAAAGTTTGTGCTCCAGTGGGTGGTGTGAGTCAAAAAGAAGGTGCTATTCCTGACATTTTGAATAGAAAAAGCTTCCTGGATGGGAAGCGAAACATCTTTAAACTTGAAAACCAAGTCCAGTGGATTGTTTTTAATTTTTTGGAATCTCTATGACCTGCATGACTGAGAACCTTCACCAGCATAATGTGGAACATTTTCCCGCCAAACGGGAAAATCACACAGATTGGAAAGAAAAAAACAACTTGGAAATATAATTCAAAGGACCTTTAAGTTCCCATTTCTGCTATTTTTCCTTTGTAAATAAGGCCCAAAGACCCATTCAGCTTGATGCTTGTTTCATTTATTTACAGCAACTACTAATAATTTTTGCGCTTTTCAAAATGTGCTATCTTTTTACTTTGTGTTCTTCTTGGTTCTCAGAGTATTCATCTATCCTTCCTGCGGACAGTCCCTCCATACTCCCACCAAGCGCACGTTTGGTTCGATTTGATGCGCGAGTTCAACTGGAACCACATCATCCTGATCGTCAGCGACGACCACGAGGGCCGGGCTGCTCAAAAGAGGCTCGAGACTCTCTTGGAGGAGAGAGAAACGAAGGTGAGACGCCGGGATTCTCTGGCCTCCCCTCATCTCCTACCTCCCCGATTAAGGAGTGTGTGAGCATGAGTGTGTGAGTGTTTCAGAGATCTTCTTTGTACCTAGCTGTTTCCCTTTCTGTTGTCTGAGCACATCTCTTTCTCACCATTGTGTAAACATTGGCTAACATTCCCAGAGACATCTACAGCGTCTAATGTGGTCTAATCTGACAAAAGTTTGTATGTTTATTTGCTCATCTTCACGTTGCTTTTCGCCATAGTCCAAATTATCTTGTGTCTATCCACACTGGGAGCCAAATAGTGGACTTTAACATGGGGCTCTGCAAACCATCACAGAAGAAAGGTATATAATGAGGTGGAAGTGACAGACTGCAAACATTTTAAGGGTTCATACTTAATTGTAATTTGCTTCTTCATGGTGATTTGGAAAATATTTCTAAAACCTTTCAACTTTTGCATATTTTTTCATGTTACAACTGTAGATTTTAATGTGTTTATATGAAAAAGTTGACAAGGATGTAACAACAAATAATCTGGAACTGATTAGTTTTACCTACAAAAGATCATGCAAGTAAGAAAATAGAGCAGAGCAAAACCCAATGAACACAAATTTCTCACATAGTGGTGACAGAAACATGGTGGTGGTAGTATCATGCTGTGGGAGTGGCCTTCTGCAGAACGGACAGGGAAGCTGTTTAGAGTTGATGAAAAGATGGAGCCAATCGCAAGAATTGTGACAAATGATTGTGACATAGTCCAGTCTTGAACACAGCTTCATGTATTTAACAAAGTTCGAATAACTAGTACACATGATTTAATCAATTAAATCAATTATTGTTATCATAAATAACAATTAATTTTTTTAATCTGGGACAATCTTGCTTTAATTTTTTTTGTAATTGTCCATCTGTCTTTGCTGGCAGAATATATTGTACCATTCATTAATTACAGTGGTTCACAGTTCAAAAGCACCTGGGCAAAACTTTGGATCCCAGCGGCATAAATTAAGGTATATTTATGTGTCAGAACGGCCTAGTCAAAGTCCAGACCTAAATCCAGTTAAGAATATGTGGCCAGACTTGTACAGAAATTTTCACAGATTCTCTTCATCCAATCTGAGTGGATTTAAGCTGTTTTTATAACAGCTTTATGTACAAAAAAGCTAGAATTACATCAAAAGATGGTTTTATTCCACCTTAAAATTATTCACTATTTAACTGAACAATTATATTTGTAGTTGTAACATACGAAAATGTGAAAAGTTCAGCAGATTTGTACACATACCCTGAGAGGCAGGTCATTAATGGGGCATGTTTTTGAATCTTGCTCATAGCTGAATTTTGAGTGGGCGTATAACTGAGACGTTGGTAATGTGGGCCCGTGAGGAGAAGACACAATTAAAGTTAAAAAAAAAAATCCCCTCCATCCTTTAACCATTTATTAAGATTAAATCACACTAGGACGGGGTTTTTACTTCAGCACGTTTGCTCCTCTCTGGGGCTCTTTGCTGTAATTGTGTGGTCGAGTGAAATGAGTCCTGATTCAGAGGTTTAATTAAATCAGAATCTTCTGAGGCTAAGAATATGACATCCACCCGAGGCCTTTCACGGAAGCAAGTTATACCAAAAGCTCCACAGATTACTGGGATCAGTGTGTGCCACCAACAGGAAAACATTTCAGAAAGATGTGCAGCTATTTGTGCAGCTCAAACATTGTGAGAGTCAAATCATTTAGCTGAGATTCATATCCTGCATTTATGAGGGAAAACAGATCATTAAAAGCTTCTGATGAGAATCCAGGAAGCTTCTTTCATGCTTGCACGGTCTTAGTTGTGATCTCAAAATGAGCCCATCTGTGCTCTCCATTTAATGCCCTATCTGAGCAAAGTTTTCCTGTGAGACTCTAGTTATGAGTATATATTTAGACACAACTGCAACACCAGTTTGAACCTTTGCTTACTGCTGGAATGGATTTACGTGAATAAATGTGTGAATCAGGCAGTGATTATTGTGCAGAAGGTTTAGGGTAAAAAGATATAAAAGCTATGAAAAAAATTGATTCTAGGACTAATTGTGGATCCCGGCCTGTATCTACTGTATGTAACCCCACCATGCCACCGGGTTCAGGGCTGTCAATAAACTAATAAAGTTCAAAGCCCGGAGCTGACGTGTTCCATTACAAATGCAGTTTGTCTTTCTAACTCCAGCGCACGCATTGTTCATCTCATTCCAATAACCTACAGCACCATGTGCTATTACTGGCACCCAGAATGCTCCAAAAATAAATTCATTTTCATTGCAGCAGGTTACTCTGACACTACATTTTTATAATTTTTTTATTATTGTACTTTTATTCTGTAGAGACCATATTATTTAGAAAAATATTGTTTTTATAACTACTGTCTAACATAAAATCAGACTAAACTTTCCCTCATTTCAGTCAATAATTTCATTAGAATTGTTTTTATTTGCTAAAAGACAGAATGTGTTCATCAACCCTGGAACAGAATTAAAGGAGAGGGTATTTGATAAAGCCGAGTGGGATTATCCAGAGGGAGAATAGCTCTGTACCTATATAGGCCGAAAGGCCACTCAGAAATGAAGAAGCCAATACTCTAGTTTGCAAGATTTACTAAGAAGTAAAAACTTAAAAATCTAGAGGAATATTCTCTGACATAATGAGACTAAAAGGTAATTTAAGCTTGGAAATTCAATCTCTACTTTAAAGTCTGGAGGTTGAAGCTTGATATTCTAATGTATTTGATACAGTAGAGACTTGTGGACTTCGAAAAAGAAGTAGTGCTGAGAAACGATAGTTCCTTTGGAATTATTAAACCACAATTTGACAAACCCAGCAATTAAAATGAGACTCAAAATGAGCAATAATCACAATTATATCACCTAATTAGGTTTTGTCCAGTGATCATCACAAAGTAATGATCTGGTCCCATATAGGCATGGGTACGAGCGTATAAGAGTGTGGGTGTGTTTGTAGACATGTTTTACCTGTGAGAAGAGCGACTTACATTCCTGAAGAAGTTACATCAGCTAAATCAGGAGGAATGGGCCAAATTTCCAGCAATTCCAAACTTGTGGAAAAATTCCCAAAAAGTTTGACCCATTTCATATTGTTTACAGGCTGTTTTGTTTAAGAAGAGCCTATTCACTTTCCAGCTGTTGATGTTAATTACGAATGCTTCTAGAAGGACTGTTGACCCAGACATCATTGAACAAAGAATTATTTTATTTTAACCAGGCTCATATTAAAAGTAAAAGAATCGGTTAAACTAACTCTGGAGGGATTTAAATCATCTACAGAAGGATTTCTAGATCAAACTAATTTTCTATACTTCCCCACAGCACATTTAAATACAGTATTGAGCTTTGTTATCTTTAAGTATACAGCTTTAATAGCATGATCTTTTCAACACACACATTTGCCCTACAGTATATGACAACTCCTGAGCCTGTACTGTAGCTTTAGACCATTTCTATGGATCTTCAAGAGTCAATACCTTATCTTTTTTATCCCTTTCAGCATGGCTCTATGGTTAAGAAATAATATATTCTACAAACCAAACCTGAGGATTCGAGTATTATCACGTACTAATCTACCCAATACTATGGAGATGTACATAAACTTTATAAATTGAAGAAAATACAAGTTAGTCCTAGTCTCGTTCTTCTAGCTGTTAGTTTTAAGACATTGTTTTGCTTATCTTTGATCATTGAAAATAGTTGAATTCAGTCTGATTTAATTTCAGACAGTAAGGAAAAAATTCTTGTTTTTTTGTACCTTGGGTGTAAACATCGTTTTCAACAAAATTGTCAGTGCAAGTTATCGACATCCTTGCTTTCAATATTTTGTGTGACCCCATCTATCAACAGGAAAAAACTTGGTCTGCTCCTATAACACTGAAAAGGTTGAAGCATAGAAAATAACCCTAGAGTCCACTGCTGTGTTGATTTATATTATATTTGGGAACAATGACTCATTTATGTTTTGTTTTCTTTTTTTTTCTTTGTGGAGATTGCTAAGTTTTTATTTAGAAGGTTCTTTTTATTTGAAAAATTCAACATCCTGGTCTCTTCTTGATGCTCAGGCAGATTTTAGAAGAGGAACAGGCCCACAGTACCAGGGAACCTCCTCTGTGCTTTTCCTATAACATCACCCTTTCATTTTTTTTTTCTTTATCACCTGTGTTGTTGTTTTTTTCCTTGAGAAACTCCAAAAGTTAACATAACATTCTAAGACCCAGTTAGTGATTAAATAGCTGAGATTTTTACTCAGGTATCAGTAACTCTGGAGGACACTGTTTCTCTTCTTAAATTAAAGAGCATTTTGATCTAATTGAAATGGTGCATCATTCTTAAAAAAAAAAACAACTGATGCAACATCCTGTAAAAGAAAAAAAACAGTCTTGGATCGAGAGCTCCAGGCAAGTTAGAGAAGCTCTAAATTATTAAAACACAAACTGCTCAGAAAAGACACAAAGTGCTAGGTTTCTTCTGGCTTTTAAAGATCCACTATGTAATTTTGATGCAATGCCTCTGAAGTTCTAACATATCAGAGAAAAAAGATAGATTAAGGGAATTATTTTGGGCTGTGTGATAAACAGAAATAAGTGGGGAAAACAAATGCATATTTGTAAAAGAATATCCTTCAATTTGCTCATTAAAACTCGAACTCATTCACTCTCCAATGTTTTATTTCTAAAACATGAATAAGAAAAATTAAAAAAACCTATCTGGCTAATTAAGGAAAGATTACTCCTAGAAAACATAAATACCAATAATATGAATAATAATACGGTACTGTGAAAAAAAAAAAAATAACTACACTTAATAAGGTCAATGATTTCAATTAAGGCACAGAGAATAAAAGGTAACAACTTTGTTTGGTAAAAACTGTGACAGATGTGCGACCTTTTACAGATTTCATCACAAAATTAAGGAATGACTATGTGGAAAGGCAATTCATGCCTATATTAAAGCATGGTGG